CCAGAAAAAGCTAACTTTGAACCTGGCCCAAACTCGTTTATGTGAAGAGAGCCCAAAGCAGGCAGGTAATTTAAATGACCAAATATTACTTCCCTTCTGGAGAAATGGGAATATCAGTTATTTTTTAACTTCAACACTTTCTCAGTTTGAACTGCAGAATTAACTCTAAAATTCTTTCCAAAGTTTTTAACTGATGAAGGCAGTTTCCCGTTATGCTTTTCATTCTCCCTGGAGCAGCTGAGGTTATTTAATGGTTTGTTGTTGGACCAAGTTCCTACAGGGACAGAAGACATTACTGCACTCTACATAGAAAACAATAGTATCTCTGCTAACTCCTACGGGGATGAACATTTCCATTCCTCAGCAGTCCTATGAGAGACAGAAGCATATAGATCAAAAGTTAACCCAAAAGAGTAATAATATGAACATTATAGGGATACGTTACCAGCAACACCTTGTGCAGTAAAAGGAAGATAGTGTTTCCAGAAATGGGATGAAGCACCTTATCACTTTAACACACCGTCTACCATGTCCACCCCACAAACAAGGACACCTGAATTCAGGGGAGGCTATGCAGTACTCTGTGGCACAGATTAGTGCTAAATTCATTGTATGACATATTAGTACTGACTCAGATTATCAAGATTTGATTGTATTCACCGAAAACAATATCGTTTTTATTGTTGCAATGTTTGAATTTTGTCCATCCAAGGAAGGTATTTGTTTTTCTGTTTGAATTTGTTTTTTCCTTGCGTGTTTTTAAAGCTTGTTATAATAGTGGAGCGCAAAGCGGGCACTCAGAAAAAAGAAAAAGAAATGAAACGATTAGGAATATTTGCTCGGAATGAACCTAATGCAGGTGGTCAAGCCATGCGTTCTCCGTGGATTCCTCCATGGAAAGGGAGGTCGGGAAATCATCTTTTCAAGTTAAATGTGAACTGCATTGAAATTCATTTGTAACGTTACCTGCACTGTTTTAGTGGACTCTCATTTTATTTTAATGCGTTGTTATCCTGACGCAATTGGTTAAGGTATTTTCATTATGGATCTTAAATAACTTTGCACAAGTGCAGGGACCTACCACTACTTAAAAAAAACATGCTATACTTAGAATAAACGCGTGTGATCGAATGCATCCTATTTACCGATATTAAAAATTATATTGTTACCTGCACCCTGCTAGCAAAACATGAATGCCTTAATCATCGTCCTTAGACTTGTCCTTACGAGGATAAATGGGTGGTTACATAGACATCGTTAAATATTTTTAAACGAAATAGGTACGAATAAAGGAAATGTTTGGTCTAACCAGTGCATTAAGAGCCATTCATCAAGCTATTTAGAGCTCGAGTGTGATAAAAAATAGGAGTGCACGTGGCTTTTGGGGACCGTGGTGATGAATCCCTATCCTATATCACGCTCGTCAGCCCTGTAACGTACTGTATTTAGGAGACGGAGGATTGGTGACCATCATATTTCATTAACTGAAGAAAGCAGCCGGATTCTCCAGCATCCGCCTGTATTACCTAGAATGCTACTGCTCTAATTGTTCCCATTACATAAAGTCACACGATTCGAAGCTTGTCACCGATAATAAACGTTTTGCCTTTTCACTTCAATGTTTCAGGAGTTCCTTCTCGAATGTTTTTAGGCTTAAATCATAAATATATTACATACAGCGAATTAATTATTTGATTCCTCACGCGTAATGTAATTAACTGTAGGCTAAGTAAATTAGTAACACAGAGTTTATTTACATGTAATCCATTTTTCGTCCTAGTTTTGTAACAAGTCGTGTACTTCTGCTTCTGTTATTGTATTATTTAGATTATTATATGTTTTCTTTTTATATAAAACATGTAACACTTCATATTCGAACCCGTGATTAACATCTCATTGATTTAAATGTACAGTAGATCTTCTTGAATGAAGAAATCATCATCACCAGAGTCTTAAGGCTCTATAGCCTATATCTGTTTCTCCTTTCCGTTTATTCACCTTGTAATTAACTTTAACTTGTTCCTTTATAGCCACCGCACACTGACACAGCTCCTCACTCGAACATCATCATTATTATCATCATTAGTCACAGCTACTGTAGAATATATGACAAATAATGTAATGAACTGTAAAAGATCATTAGAATAACAGTAATATTTACATATTATTTTCCTAACACGCGAGAAACAATTGGTTATTAAAATATTAAAACTCTATGTGAGATATGTTTTGTACTGTTTCATTAAACATTAGGAGCGGTACAATAACCTTCCTTCATTTTCCTTGTTAAACTGTGTCTCAAGGTCCATTGAAACTCCATGGACTCTCCAGGTCCTACGTGAAAACAGAAACGGATGGAGAATACTTAAGAAAAAATAAATCAGATCAGTGGACGTCATGGAGATAATGTGCTAATACTGCAGCTGATGACAGATCGTTTGTTTTGATTTTTTTTTTTAAACTAAGAAACTTCATGCCAAGACTTTCACAAATTATGCTGTATACTGTATAAAGTAATACAGCGAGAAAGCTCACACACCCTCAAGGTCTTCCTGATATTCACAAAGAGGAGTTGGTTGAGTAGTTTTATGTGTAGCCTATGGCACATTAGCCCGTCAATTCAGTTAATCATTTAAAGTACCTTATATGTAATTATACACGAAGGTACGTAGATATATTTATTTTAAAATAAGTGTCTAATAACCTAACTATCGTGATCATATATTCAAACATTAGCTAAGTGCATTAAATGATCCGTAGAAGCTATTTTTATAACTTATATTATTATTACTTTATATTATTACTTGTTTAAAATAATGAAGCTTTTTAGTCGGGTACAACGTGTTTAACAGCCTTATTAGTCAAACACCTTGAGAAAGCTATTAAACATTTAATAAACACCAATACTTGCACAACACAGTACGTCAAATTCGTGATTCAGGCCTCGGAAAAGTCTGAACTTTACGTCAGTCAGTCTCGTTTTTTATTCAGACTTTACGAAAATGCTTACTTGACAAAACAGTGATAACATTAAGGAATCTGGTTCTAAAATACTGTAAGTGCTGGCGGCGAGTGGTGCCCTCAGTGGGGGGTCTCTATTACGTTAAACCTTAAAGAAAATCCAGAACTGAAAGATTTCTGTATGTTTTCAACGACCAAATGAAGCAACACGCTAGCGCGTATTCAATGCAGGTTTGTAAAAGACAACACGAGACTGTGCTACATTTCACTGTACTATTTTGATCCACGGTCTATGTTTTTGTAGATTGCATCACGTGACAATTAAAGGTTTCCATCGGTATATCAGGGTATTTGTAAATTGTAAATGTAAAATGTAAAATAATGCTAAGTAAAAATAACTGGAAATACAAGAACCTGAAATACAAGAAACTGAAAATTAGTTTCAGTGTAGTTGAATTAGAAAAGTGTGAAGTCGAGGATTTTATCTCATGCTTTGGTCCTTGTGTTAAATATGTTTGTATAATAATAATGTAACTTATTGGAATTACCACGTCCAACGACTTAGAAGTAATTCGTGTTCAAGATTGTGAGGTGGACATATTTAGAACTTCAAAAATAAAATTAATATAGAACGGTTGACATTTTTCAAAACATTTTATTATTTTAAAACAGTCGGGCGTTGTGAGGCTTAAAATATGCTATGTAATACTTTGATATGACGAAAATCATTAAACGTGAAATAAAACAGGAAAACAGTCTAGTGTAGATAACAAGACCTGAGTGCTACATTAAAAGCAATGATGTGTTGAAGATTTAAGTACAGGGGCACCTTCAGCACAGGAATAGTGAAGGCAGGAGGGGGTTAAATTGACACTGGTTAGAAAATGATATTCGAGTCTTTTAAGATAAATAAAAAAAATAAAACAGAATATTTGCAACTCATCGAATCTCTGGTTATTTCAGTGCATGACTTCAAAACATCCGTAAAATGTAAAGCGGGTGCATTATTGAAACATGCTTCAATTCAGTGCATCTGGGTTATTTAATTATAAATCTTTAAAAATCAATTGAAAATAAGCAAGTGTCATACCTTGAAACTACCCCCCAAACTGTTTTATCGTATATTACAGACTAAAATTCTACACCATGCTGTCTGGATGGTTTAATTCATATTAATATGATTACCACTTAGAAAACATAGTAAATTGATTACATTCTTGACATTACGTGTATTATTCGCTCCTGATTTCAAGTATAGCAAGATTAAGAACCAATTTGGTAAAATAATAAAATTAAATAAAAGAAAATAAATAGAAATAAAGAAGAATTAAAATTAAGTTCACATGGAGCTACTTTTGTTTCGTCAAAAATACTTTTATGCGGAAGCACGGACAACACTTCAGTTTTTCTACATTAATGGCAATTCAGCACGATTTCTACTTGAATTATTTAACGCATTAGTCTTTCACTATGGATGCTGAGAATATTTCTGTAACCACGATACCAGATATTGAAACTGAATTAAGGCTCTATCATTTAAAAAAAATAGTAGGGTCTTCAAATTTGCATCCTCGCTGACAAGCAACTTCCTTGCACATAATACAATACAATTTACAATAATTATAAAACTATAACTTACTTTGTGCTTTGTGACTTTTGTCTCTGTGACTGCGTGTTTTAGATGAGTGAATATTACTGTAATAATAGTACTGGATAAACTGCTAAATGCAAGTTAAGATGACCAATGTACAATAATGTGAATTATTTCCTTTCACCACAGCAAAATAATTCTGGCCCACATGCACCTTATCACATTAACTTTAAATCAACGTCCCTTCGGTAATGTACAGTACCGACATGACTGGTTCATATTTTTCACAGGTCTAGAGTATTAATTTCCCTCCCATCGAAATGATTGGAGATGTCTCGTGGAAACAGATCGTATTTAAATACATTACATGTTGATTCTGTACGTGGAAAAAACGCAAACCTGTTCGTACGCACACACAATAATGGTAGGTTCAGAACAACTTCTTCTTAAGGAACCTTTTGCTTACAGTGGTAGTTCGATCGAATTCCACAACAAGGTGGGGGGAGCGATTAGAGAAAGAGGAGGAGAGAGCGGAGAGAGAGGCGCAACAGGAGAGGAGAAGCAGTTGAGGTTTTGGCAGGTCCTCGGGAAATCAACAGCCCCGAGTTTCTCCCATTCACGTGAGGACACTTACCAGCTTCTATCTCCCGAGGAATCCCATTACGTTTTCGTTGTGTTATGTGCGACTTGTAAATACTAAAGCTATCAAACAAGATCCGGACGTAGATCTTTGTATGGATAAAAACTTCTGTTCGGAAAACCCTGTCTCACCTACAGTAGGTTCTCTATTGGAATACGGAGGATTTTAGCGCGCAGTGGAAAACCGTAACAAATAAGGATTTTAGCAGTCGTTTGTATCACGAGGTACTCTGTACGAATGGTAAATCCAGAGTTGTGGATATGTACCAAGGCATAGCAATGACGACTAACCATGGAGCCCCGTCTTACGAATCCAGATTCATGCACAGTGCCGCAGCTACTTCGCCCGTCTTCGTGCCAACCACCCGGGCTACACCCATGATCCCCGCGTTGCCTTATCTGCAGCCACACGCGGCCTCTCAACAAAACAGTCCGGTTTGCAGCCACTCTGGCTGGGCACAGAGCACAGAGGAACCGGTCCCTTCTTACACCACTGGCGGGTCTCATCAGTCCACCATGTCTCCACGCTTTACCTTTTCCACAAGTCCACCCATCTCTGCTGCAGTCGCTGCAGTCCGGGATAACGCGACATACCCCAGCCCTCTGAACATCTCTGCCAACGGCAGGGAACAATACGGGACAAGGGGACTCGGCGGGTCTTACCACAGTCCGTACCCAGCCTATGTGAGTCCTAGTATGGGGGGTGGTTGGACCACGTCTCCCTTTGACAGTTCTGTGCTCCACAGTCTACAGCCCGGAGGAGCGCCGGGGACAGCCAGGCACCCTAGCATAGGTAAGTATCTGTTGTTAAAAGGGAGGGATGGGAAGAAATACCGATTTCTATGCGCATAAGGATTTTCCACGTGTTCGTAATCTCCCTCTGGAAGATGAAAAGCGTTAAAACGCAATGAATAACAAAAAACAGATAACGTTTTGGTTGGCTTTCATTAAATTACATAAATTGGCCATTCTTAAAAAGTAAACTATAAACATGTATTTGTCCAAATGAAACCATACTCTTTAAGCTTAAATGCATATCTACGTTTCATAATACAGCACATTGAATGTAACCCAATACATCATATACTGTAGATCTGCTTTTTGCGTAAAGGTTTATTAATATATCTATTGTCTTCTTAGTAAATCACTAGTATTTTTAAACACATCTTCTAGTCCACATCAGCTCTCACAACACAATACTATCTTCCAAGGATAGGAAGCATTTTATTTTTGTTGTTCCTGGTATCTTCTTAAATACAGTAGGTCAGTGTCCTTGGGCAGTATTTTTCAAACGCATTTTGAAAATATCAAAAATAGTTAGCTACTAGCAACCAGAGAAGCTAAATAGATCGAATGCAACCTATCTTATGTTTTTAAAATTGCTGAACAATTACAAATACATGAGTATCTAGATAGCGTCAGACTCCATTTATTTAAACACCAATATTCTGCTAAAATAAATAGAAGTGAGACTTTAAAGTTGATAAGATTTCTTATACACTTTTCTAAAAGCTATGTGATCAACGAGGGTTACAGATTCTACCTCAGAGCTATAGTAATCTATTCCACAATTTATTTTCTTTTTAAATGATGAAAATTTAGTTTGATAAGTCAGCACTTAATGTGGAAATAAAAATATATTTCTTACAATAGGATGTTATTTAAATGCAGTGCGTCTGGCATTTTTCTTCATAAATAACAGCCGAAGAACAAGAAAAAAATGAGAAGAAACAGACCTACATCTTTTCTCTTGGAATTGTTTTTTGTATTGTTTTGGAAATAAAATAAGAGAGTTTTAATTAAAACCAAAGACAATGATATTTGGTTTTGTGATTGTCAAATGATGTTCAAAGTAATTTAAGTGAATTGGAGTCACATACCGCGCAATTGATTTTTAACTGAAGTTACCCTTTCCCTGGAAAAAACAAATAGACGTAATATTAGAATATGTCGAAATCTTGTATTTGTCTTGTAGCAATATCATTACCATTAAAGAAAACCATTCTCCATATCCTGAACTAATTCTACAATTTCCTAATATTCTAAGTAAGGCACTACTTAATGAAATAATCCTAAATAGCATACAGTTTTAGTGTTCTTTTTAGTTAACAATTCATAGATATCTCCACAGTTAAAAACAACTTAAATTTTTATTAAAATATTTAAGTAAAACAAACGACGTTTATTATAATTCGTAGTATAAATCGGAACCCAATATGTATTATTAAACGTTTTTAACATTGTAATGTTAATGTAATGTAGAATCTCTTCTACCTGTATTTTAATATTGTAATAAAAAATGTGAGCACAGACGTTTTCAATTACATTAACACTGCACAAAAAAAACAATTTAAATGGTTTAAACATTCATTTTCCATGCTTATTTACCCGTTGCGTCTGCAATAGGCCTCAAACTCCAGCCTGACACGCTGACCTCTATGCCGGCTTGTCCCTACTCGAACCACTAAGGATTTTTCACTTGTTCGTACTGTAAACTCCCTCTGGAAGATGAAAAGCGTTAAAACGCAATGAATAACAAAAAGCAGATAAAGTTTTGCTTGGCTTTCATTAAGTTACATAAGTTGGCATTTCTTAAAAAGTAAACTAAACATTTATTAGTCAAAATGAAACCATACTCTTTAAGCTTAAATGCATATCTACGTTCCATAATACAGTACATTGAATGCAACCCAATACATCATATACTGTAGATCCGTTTTTTGCGTAGAGGTTTATTAATATATCTATCGTCTTCTTAGTAAATCACTAGTATTTTTAAACAAATCATATAGTCCACATCAGCTCTCACAACGCAATACTATCTTCCAACGATAGCAGACGTTATGAAGATAAAATGTTAACTTGTCTCAGTTTGTTCACCTTTGTCTCAGTTTGCACTTTTATCCAGTCAACTAGGCAATAGTGATCACCAGTTTTTGCAATCAGAAAGTTGATGACTGATACTGTCCTTAGTCATGAAGATCCCGTGCAAATTATTGGTTCTGTATTTTAAAGACGAATAGCAAATTTTAATAAAATTTTAAGTGAGTAGCTGTGTATGACGAACCATGTTTAAAGTGAAACATCATGATGTTAAAAGTAGTCGTAGGCCGACGGAATAGGTATTCAGCATATGGATTCAGATTACGCATGGTGCCGCTTAAATTTCAGAATCAGAGAAACTTTTCACGTTTCAAAATGCTATAGAATCAGGAGGTTAAATATCAGCTCTAATCCCACTATAAATGAATCTATATCTCTTCATTTTATACCATTGGTTTAAAACGGATTTTTAGTATGAACATTGTGGTACATACTTGTACTTTAAGGAGTTTTAGATAAATCAAAGTTTTGATTTAACTTATTTATATTTATACGTAATGGCTGTATACGTAATACTTTGTTTCCCCAAACAGTTTTAAATTATTTTTTTTTTAAATAGGTTTTTATTTGTTTTGCTTGTAGGACTCGGACCTACACTCGACAGGAAATAACAACTTTCGGGTTTGCGTTTTCAGCTTGTGTTTTATGTCTAGATAAGGGAAAAACAGTCATACTGGTTTTGTAATTCGCTATTGACATATATTTATGAAAATACTCAATGCCAAAGAGTTATAAGGACATGTCTAATGTGTTTAATTCTTGTAGTTAATGACTTGAGTGACGTATCAGTTTAAAATGAATGGATTTACATTTACAGTATGAACTGGTATCCGACATACCCAACAACAGAAAATTAAGTCTTGGTGTAAACCAAATTCTATCTATTGCATTCTTTCTATCATTGGGCGTATCTACCTAATAGTACATTTTAAAAATACAACATATTATATACGTATAATTTACGTTTTTTGAGGCGTCACTTCAAAACTTTCCAATATAATAAGTGTCGTTCTTAAGGCAGACTTTGAATCCACAGATATTAACATTAATAGACATACTGTAGTTACAAGATGACTAGGTGTCCTTGTTTCACCGCTTCTTTGATTCTCATACAAATTTAGTATTTGCGATTAATAAATATCAGTCATGCTATATTCATCTTTTTGTGAGGGTAAAATAAAATCTTGATGTCTTAGAAATTTCCTTTCCAAAGAATATACAGGTAATTACTTAGGAAACATTGTCAATATATTTGTGTTTGACGCGTTCTCCAGTTTTTACGTTAAACAATCCTGGAGAGAAACAGTATGCAGTTATATTAGAGCATGTATGTATTGCGAAACATAAAATCACTGTGAGCATTTAAGGCAGATTGCATATTTACGGTGTTAACAAGTCTATATGTAATGAAACATTTTATTTTTCACTTATGAACATTACATTGTGCAATGAGAAGTTAACATATAATCTTGACTTCTGTAACGAAATTTTACGAACTCAAAAATACTGTAGTAATAATGTTGGCTTCTGTATTGGTTAAGTGCTAAACAATCGGAATCCGGACATAGGCCATCGGCAAATTATTTTTATTATTATACAATTAAACTCTAAGATATTCCTATTTTTTAAGTTTTAATCAGAATTGAACATAGAGAGACTGCGTAACTGCTGATTTTACATCACTTTCAAAATGTAATATAAAATACATTGTACGTTGTTATGCCATTTAACCTAGCTTTTTCCAGAACTCCACGTAAAAATTTTAAAATAATAGTAGTAAAAATAATTTAATATCTCCTGATGATGTATGTCAATGTTTTATCATGTAAAGTATAAAATCTTTGCATTAACCTGTGGACATAAAAATATTTCCTATTGAGAGTTTTGAACAGTAGGAATCTAGGAATTTTATTTAGACACAGGCCTGTAACAATAATCAGTTCACATCTTCAAACGTGTTTTTCTGTGCTATCGCGTAGGCTATAGTTTATTAATAGTGGGAAAATATTAAAAATCTATTGTTAAGTTCTTGTTAATGTAAGAATCTAAGAACATAAGAAAAGTGGTCTTCTCTTTGTAACCTTTCTTATGTTAATACTGGAGTCCAATATCTCCAGAAGAGTTTTATCGAGAGTATAACAATCTTATTGATAGTGTGCTAAATTATAGACATAGTGTAATAGAGACTTTACATAATGAAGACATTCATATTTTTTCATTAAAATCTACTCTTAGAATTTTGGCATACTGGAACTTGGATATAATCTATTATTTCTATTACATCTAAGAAAACCTAAATGCCCATTAAAACCTGTATTTGTTTCCAACTTGTTTTAAAACCAGTAGAAAATGAAATTATCCCCTCCCTTACCCTCTAGAAAAGTATACATTGCAACACTCTGGCACTCTGACTAATGAGTGATCTCTTCCCACCACAAGTCCAGGAGAAAGCTTTTGTGATTAAAGAAATGGTCCTTTTTTTAAATCCAGATTGCGTATACACACAGCACACTGTTTTGTATGGTTACATTTTACAATTAATACCCACATTCAGTTTGACAGACCTAAATCTCATTATGATTCCTTGCATTTTCTACAGTTGGGAAATCGGGAAGCAACCTGAATTTTGGACTAAAGAAGTCACAGTACAGTATATTTTATTATACCTCTCCAGTGATGTTCAAGATCATAGAGATCCAGAGTGTTTTCTAGCTTTTGTCCAAATTTAACTTTCTGAATGAATTAATCAAATTTTCTCTTAGTGTCTGGAGACTACCACAGTTTCCTATATTTGAGCCTTTGAAGTGGTGAACATATCTATAATACATGAAGGCTTGTGTCTTTCTCTTTGTGTAAGAAACTGTAAGCCAGTAAAATTGTGCCTTGGGTTTGCACCACAAGTTTAAAAAT